TATTGTTTCTATATGTAAACTGGAAAATAGGGGCCTGGAGCTTGCTTTCAGGATGGTCTTCCCTTCATTCCAGGAGGTTGTTAAGCACTCTGCTTCATCCTTCAAATGGCCTCACTCATCCACACAGGAATTTCCTCACTGTTAAGAACACAACTGTTCTAGCCATTCCCAAGGTATTTGTGAAATTTGAAAGAAAAATCCAGTATTTAAACAATCGGGCTAGTGAGGTATTGGATTTTAATAAGTAAACTGCAGCTTTAGCCGCAGTTGTTACTTTTCAGTCAAGAGAATGTAGTCCTTAAAAAAAAAAAGAAAGAAAAAATCAAGACTTAGCAAAAATCAAAGGAAAAATACAAGACCAAGGAAAAATATCCACAGACTTTTCTCCTATAAAATGTAAGAAAACTGTTTGAGGATGGTTTAGAAATCAACAACTTATTTATAGACTATCTAATTGTCTACCTAGGAATTCTGTGATAATTGATTTTAGAAACTACTGGATCTCATAAAACTGGCTGGATGTGAGACTGGCATTTACCCAAGCTAACAATTTTCTTGTATACAAGCAATAACTGATTAGTAAATGTAATTGAAGAAAAGAAAGAGATTTACAGTGAAATAGATTTACAGTCTATCACAGCAGACTGTCAGAAATTTTAAAGCACTAGTTTTCAAGCTATTAATTCAAATTTCATAGGTGAAGTTACAAAAAATGATTATCTTTCAAACCAGTTTCCCATGAAATGCTAAGATAATCCCAGCATTGTTGTGGTCTCTAACATACCAGTTTCCTAATTGTTTCAAAACAGTTTTAAATGGTTGTTTCAGAATGTTATAAAAGTCTCAAATTTTTTATATTTAAATAAGTAAATGTCATAAGCATTGAGAACGAGGCTTTAGTAGGAAGGTTAAAAACATAAATACATGGCATCTGAACTCTCCCCCAAGATGAAGCACAGCTTCAGGATTCTTTCTTACCTGGGTGGTGGAGCCAAATCTTGCCCAGCACAACCTGCAGTTACACACAGATGAGTGAGAAAAAATATCAGTGGATAACTGCTTCAGAGAGCTAATTCCACAGCAGTTAAAAATCATAAATGGTATCATTTTTGAAAACAAAACTGTCTACCATATTCATTCACAATGCTCCTCTAATTTAACACCTGGTGAACCTAACAAAAAAAGAGAAAGCAATGGGTTTTTGATGGAACATTCTGAATTACTTAATCCCTGCTTTGATTTTAATTAAAACCTGCTCACTTAACTGAAAATGTGTTCATGTATACCACAAGGTCACTTTACCACCAGCTGTGTCATGTTCTGTATAGGAGAAAAATTGTATTCTAGGGCAGCATTTGGCAAACTACAAGATACAGCCCCTATCCAGCCCACTGCTTATTTTTGTGCAGTTTGTGGGCTAGAATAATTTTTACATTTGTAAATAGTTGAAAAAAAGTAAAAGGAGAATAACAGCTTGTGACACGTGGACATTAAAATTTCAGCGTCCATAGATAATTATTGGCACACTGCCACACCCACATTTGCATATTATCTATGGCTGCTGGAAATACCATGTGGTCCACAAGCTTAAAATATTTACCATCTAGCTGTACAGAAACTGTGTGTCCACCCCTGCTGGATTATTAAGATGAAAAAGCAAAGTGATAGGGGAGGTTGACACCCAAAGGCTACCTTAAAAGAGTGACATTTTTCAAACTGCTTTGACAAGAGGCAGTTTGGCTATCAGTTCTATGTCTTATAGTAGAGTAAGTAGCTGATTTGGAAGCAGTGATGTTTGACAGAGGAGAGTTATTGTTATTCATTATTAAATTATCATCATTATTATTATCTTAACCACCAGTGCTTCTCGCTGATTTATTTTCTCCACCTCCTAAGAGGAATTTGACCAGTTTGATTACATCTCATTTATGCAAGTGTACAAAATGTGTTGCAAGAGTTGTCTGTGTCAGAAACAATAAACAAACCTTTTAAATCCTTCTTGCTTAAGCAGGAAGTCACAACTTGCCAATAAGAAAATTAAAACAAACCTCACAGCGTTGTATGTTTGGTTCAAAATGAGAAATATTTTAGGTCCTGGGATAGTGTCATCTAGGCAACCCCATGTGTCCTTCCTGGTGAGATCACCTGCACACTGCTGCTTGCTTTCCGATTCACTGAGAGAGGGTCACACCTTGTCCTCTTAATCCCAGAGTCAAATATGATTACAAGGATTTCCCTCTCGGGACTCTAACTTGTAAGGAAGATCACTGTGTTTTTTTGTTAAACAAGACAGCTCTCTTTAGTTGCCTTATTCATTCTCAGGCTTACTATATTTCATCGGTCTAAAGACTGTGTTTGACATTGGTGACTGTTGGGGACCATTTGATTTACAGTGAAAAAAGTGCAGATTTCAGACTTTAAATCCATACTTCTCTGAATTGTTCTCATTTTTGAGAGTGAGATTGTGTGTGTGTCTTTCTTCCGAAGGGGGATGAATACAATCAGACGTGTCACCGTAGCTAACTCAAAAATGTATGTCTCTCATTTTCTTTTTTATTGATTCTAAAATTACAGAAAATTTTAGGATATAAGAAAATAAGTGAATCATGGGAAAGTGAAAATTCCAGGACACATTTCAGTTGCAGTTAAAATAGGAATGGCTCATGTCAAATCCTGGAAAATAAAACTTGCAGCCTCATTATCAGAAAAGTAGCATTGTTAAAAATGGGCAGTCTTAACAGCTGAGGAGTCTGTTTTGAGGCATGATAAGTTGACATTAGTAAACACAAGTTAGATACCCAGACCTCATTAGTTGTGTTGATATCAGAGTTTGACCTTAGAAGTAATGAACTTAACAAATGTGGGCATTTCCAGTGATTTAATCTCTTCATTTATAAGTGATGGGCAAACCCTTCTGATAGGACTAGTTGAGTGACATGAACCAGGGGATCCGTTTATCAGAGATGAGGGTGGGAGGTGGGGAGGAAGAGAAAACATCAACAGTGAGAATATGAGAAACTGGTTATTACTTTAAACTTGGATTTTTGTATTGTCTATGTTAATCTCAAAATAAGGCGACATGCAAAGCCCTCTGTATTTCCTGCAAAACAAGGTGGCCCCAGCTTCCCAGAGCAGGCAGGGAAGGTCCACTGGGGGCAAATGCCACCTCCCACCTGTTGTCTGCTGTAAATAAGCCTGCAGCCCACCCCAGGGGCCAATTAAAAGGAATGTCACATCGGTTCAGTGACCTAGGAAGGCATCAGGTGGAATCTAGTTTGTTGGCAGTGACCCCAATTAAGTAGGGGTGGAGGTATACTTTTTTTTTATCAGGGGGCCAATTAAGATGAAACCTCAAAGTCACACCCTCTGTTAGGGAGTATTCTGAACTTGGGGAACCAGTGTGATGCTGGGGGACAGGGGGTTTTACTGGCTTCCCCTGGACGGAGCCTATGATGGCCACATTCAGATGTGGAAAACGAATTATGGTTTGTTTGTTCTTTTTTCTTTTTGGCTGTACTACCAGACATGTAAAATCTTATTCCCCAACCAGGATTGAACCTGTGCCCCCTACATTGGAAGGGCAGAGTCTTAACCACTGGGCCTCCAGGGAAGTCCTAGAATTATGGGTTTTGCACCTCTTGTTAGAAAGCTTTTGTAAAAAAATAAATAAATAAATAAGCATTTGTAATTAAAAAAAATTNGGGCAGAGTCTTAACCACTGGGCCTCCAGGGAAGTCCTAGAATTATGGGTTTTGCACCTCTTGTTAGAAAGCTTTTGTAAAAAAATAAATAAATAAATAAGCATTTGTAATTAAAAAAAATTTTTTTAAGTAGTTTATTCTGAAAGGTCAAGATGTTTCATGTTTCATGACATGGCTTCTCCAACAGAGGAACTAGCCCCAGGTGTTAGCTCTTCGGTTACTCGGACCCAATTAAGGAGGAGCAGGGAATAGCCCTAGAGCCAGGAGGCAGGCCAAATCAGCTACTTACTCTGCCATAAGACATAGAACTGATAGCCAAACCGCCTCTTGTCAAAGCAGTTTGAAAAATGTCACTCTTTTAAGGTAGCCTTTGGGTGTCAACCTCCCCTATCATTTTGGTTTTTCACCTTAATAATCCAGCAGGGGTGGACACACAGTTTCTGTACAGCTAGATGGTAAATATTTTAAGCTTGTGGACCACATGGTATTTCCAGCAGCCATAGATAATATGCAAATGTGGGTGTGGCAGTGTGCCAATAATTATCTATGGACGCTGAAATTTTAATGCCCACGTGTCACAAGCTGTTATTCTCCTTTTACTTTTTTTCAACTATTTACAAATGTAAAAATTATTCTAGCCCACAAACTGCACAAAAATAGGCAGTGGGCTGGATAGGGGCTGTATGTTGTAGTTTGCCAAACGCAGGGCATGTAGCTAGTTACACGGCGCCCTGTTAGGGCACTGATCGCAGTCAGAATAGGGGGTGGTGAGACCTCAGCCAAGCGCAGACTTTCCGGCTGTGTGAGCCTCTGCCCCCAGGGCTGCGGGAGGGCTGGCAACAGTGTCCGGCGCTCTCTACCCAGGAAAGGGTGCTGTGACCGTCCCCTTTTCGCAGAAAGGAGCAAAGGGTGGGGAGAGATTAACTGGCTTGAGGACCCACAGCTTAGAGACTGCAGGTGCTTTCAACCATCACTTTTAACCATAAGCTTCATCTGTGGTTTTGGCTTCCGTTTCTTTTTCCTTTTTTTTCCCCTCACATATTCTGCAGGATCAGTTTCAAGAGCTACCACATTTTATCAAGCCAGGGTGTAAGCAAACACCTTGTAAGTGTCCCCAGCATCATGACTTGCTGGGGCTGTAACGGGTGGCAGCAGCTTTTAGCTCCCGCCCAATCCCAGTCCCAGACAAACTGGGACAGCTGGTCGCCAGACTCACGTCTGAACATAGCAACGAACAAGGTGACCCAGAGCCAGGTGGCCGGAAAGACCGTGGTGGTGCTCTGACCTCTGCTTTTCTGTTGCTGCAGGCCCTGCACCCAGAGCCAGCTATGTCTGCTTTCAGGGGGGCATTGTTTACACCCTCCTCCACCGTCTTCCAGAGTCTTCAGCCTTTCAGCAGCCCCCAAATGCTGCGAGGTGGTCGGTCCGCATCCATCCCAGCCAGAGGCCAACACCAGCGGGCCCGGCCTCTGACCCGCGCAGGCGCACAAGCGCGCTCCCCACTCCGGTTCCATGGATTCCCAGTCCAGCTGCGTGGTGGTGACCGGTAAGGCGACTTTTGTGCTTTCCACTTGCTGCTGCCTTTAGCCTGACCGTGGAATGCGCACTTGCCTAATCCTGATCATAAATAGTTCCCTCGTGGCGTGGCGGTGGTGGGGAGGGGCGGGGAGTGTGGCAACTGGCGGTGCCAATAATTCCGAATGGAGCTAACTTCCTGCTATGCCCTGTTTAAAAAAAAAAAACCAACCAGGGGATGGAGAGGCTTTTCTGCTTCTGTCGTGTCATTCACTTCAAATAACCCTTGAGCACACAGTGGTGCCCACATGCGGCTTAGACCTTTGTCCTTCAGCCCACGGGTGTCGGGAAGCGGAGGCTGGGGCCCCTGTGGCATCTACTAGGGTGCAAACTATTAATAGGCAGCAAGGAAGGGGAGCAGGGAGCCCAGAAAGAAAGAAGGGGGTGGTGACCACCCCAAAGGGGGCACATAGCTCCCACGCAAACTGGAGACTTTGCAGCCACGCGGGGAACTCTCAGCACCCTCTGAGAGCCACCAGTTAGACTTTGAGCCCCAAAAGGAATGGTGGCCACCCACTCCTACCTTTTACCAGCGCATTCCAAATCAACCCCAGACACCCCCAGTCATTGTCACAGCTGGTCCCTGGAGGGCTTGATTTCTTCACACAGCTCTTTATTTTTAGTCAGTCACATTTGGCATATTTGAAGTTTTCTGAATTGTGTGGATGAAGGAAACAAGAGACAAGGGTTTCTGTGTGTGTGGGAAATTGAACGTTACCTATTTTAATATTTTCAGACTATAATCAAATTCCTGTTAACCTTCTGAGAAAATGAAAGTTCTTTCGAAAGCCTTTTATCTCCCTTGTTCTCATTTGTGTTATTTTGGGTATTAGAGATTGGTTCAAATTACCCTTGAATTCCTAAGGACACTATAACCTGATAAATGTGATACTTGTCACAAATGAAATCTGAATGCTGAAGCACCAGGGCAGGTCTTAGACTCACATCAATGACCCCTGCCTCTGTCCTGTCAGCTTGAGATTTGCTGGCAAACTCTAGATTGTTTGATGGTACTTGATAATCAGTGGTGATTTGGGAATGCCCACTGGCTTCCAGAGCGTGGCCTTCCTTTATTAAAAATGCTCTGAGCTGCCAGGGGCGGTCTTTTCATTTAATTGGATCTGCTTCACATGTAAATCTCGCCAAGACATTGGCACATAGACAGATGGTGAGGGAACAAGAGCTCTGACAAACTGCCCCAAGACCAAGGCTTCAGACTGGCCCCACACAGTGATGATGGGAGACAGAAAGCCTGCCTCCCTCCAAAGGGCCTCTCCTGATTCCAGGAGATTTCTCCAGCCACTTTTCACAAGTTCCGCCCGAGGGCCTGCCACGTGTAAAGTGTAAGGTTTGACCATGCAAAGCAAAAGCCTCAGACCTTCATTTGCTGAGTTCTTTTGCCTAATTGAAAACAGATAAGAGATGATCTGAATACACTGATCTGAATATGATTCTAAAGCAGTATGTGATTTGGCGGGGACTAAAAATGTCACTGCATTTTTAGTATGCCTGCAGTCATCCCAGAAGGTACTTGGTTTCCCAGTGGTTTTTCCTTAGTCTCAATATTTTCCTTTTTTTTTTTTTTTTTTGCTTGGCAACTTCAGTCTTATTTATTCTGTAGGACTCAGTCAAAGTCAGAAAATACCACTAGATTTCCTGGGACATCCTGCCTCAAACTTTTCTCTTCCCTGAGAAAGTTTTACCCTTTGTGAGTCAAACTTGCGAGTGCTGTATACCCAGAGGTTCCCGAACTTTAGAGGCACAGTCTTCTCCAGAACTGGCTTCTGCTCTGAAGGTTGGAGGTCCAGGGGTGGGGATAGGGGCAGGGTTCCAAGGGTTGGTAGTTAATCATAGCTCCTCCCTATCTTGGAATCATGATTTGAGAAATGCCTCCCAGGAATCAGATTCAGTTCAGTTCAGTTCAGTCGCTCAGTCGTGTCTGACTCTTTGCAACCCCATGAACTGCAGCACACCAGGCCTCCATATCCATCACCAAATCCTGGAGTTTATCCAGGAAAAAGGAAAGTTATACCCATTTGAATGCAGAGTTCCAAAGAATAGCAAGGAGAGATAAGAAAGCCTTCCTCAGTGATCAATGCAAAGAAATAGAGGAAAACAATAGAATGGGAAAGACTAGCGATCTCTTCAAGAAAATTAGAGATACCAAGGGAACTTTTCATGCAAAGATGGGCTCAATAAAGGAATCAGACTGCTAGAATTTAAAGCCTCACCTGGTGAAGCTGAGCTGGAGAATGCTATTTCCACCTGCAGCCCACTGCCCCCAACCCTGTAGTGAGTCCCTCCCCAGTCATAGACCCATCTGCCAGTAGCTGACCTTCCCTACAGGATCAGGCAGGAACCACTGAGCCCTGAACATGGGCCACACTGCAGGAGAGATGAAGGAAGAGGCCCCAGGGGCCTGGTCCCTCCTCCTGGCACACCATCCTAGGGGGCTTGTGATGGTTAATTTCGTGTGTCAACTTGACTGGACCATGGAGTGCCCAGACCTCTGGTTAAACATCCTTTCTGGATGTGTCTATGAGGGTATTTCTGGAGGAGCTTAGCGTTTAAATCAGTGGGCTCAGGAAAGCAGTGCCCTCCCCAGCATGGGTGGGCGTCATCTAATTCATTAAAGGCACGAATAGAATAAAAAGCCCAGGAAGGTTGAATTCCCTTGGTCTGAAGACATGAACTGATACATCAGTCTTCTGCCCTCAAATGGGCGCTCCTGGTTCTCGGGCCTTCAGCCCCAGGCTGAAATTTGCTCCACTTGCTCTCCTGGGTCTGCAGTTTGTAGATGGCAGACAGATCTGGGGAATTCTCAGTCTCCATAATCACGTAAGCCAATACCTTGTAATAAATCGCCCCCATACATATATATATACATACATATATATGCAGATATATATGTATGTATATATATACATACATACCTGTACACGTCTCTCAATTTCTGGAGAGAGAAATAGGGCCTGAAGTACAGGTGAAATCTCAGCATGGAAAAGAAAGGGCAGGACCCCTGACCGATAGGCTTGGTGCCCAGATGGGGGGTTTGGGGCTGAGAAATGGTGACATCAAATGATCAGAGAGAATAGGACAGACCAAGGATCTAGTTGGAGCCCATCCCATGCTAATGGGAGAGACAGTGAAAAAGGATTTAGCATTTGCTGAGCACCTACTAGATTCCGGAACTAATACATGCCGTACTCAGCATTGTTTAATCGGCCCCAGGAGGTACATACCTGCCACCACCGTGAAGGTGAGCACTTGGCACTGCTTCCCGTACTCCAGGCAGTATTGCAGATGCTCCACTTTATTGATTTATTCAATCTGAAAACCACTCTATTAGACTAGTATGATTAGTGCCCATTTTACTGATGAGAAAGCCAAAGCACTGAAGCCGAGTAACTTGCTCACGATCACCGCGCTGCTAAGTGGTGGGGCTGAGATCAGATGCAACAGCAGAAGCCTGAACCCAAACACTGAGGTCTCCAACCACTCCTGGCTGTCGTCAGACCATGGCCTGAGCTTTGATGGGCCACTCTATGGTGTGGATGCCATAAAAAGGAGCAGCAATCAGTGAGAGGGTGAGGGAGTTCCTCTCCCCAGGCCAGCAGAGAACCTTTCCTAAGCTAGTCCCAGAGGGGGCTTGCTGTCCTCCCCAAAGCAAAATTCTACTTAATTTCCTTTTATTAGAGATCATAATAAATTGCAGTTAAGTGACATAATCGTACACAATGTAGATCAGTGTTCCCTGTTCAAGGAACAACCCCTTCTGTCCACAAGCCTCATCCAGCTCTCTCTCCTTCCCCGTGTAAAGGCCTCCCCAGCCTCTTCCGTGGGGCTGTCCTCGCCCAGGCTCCCTCCCTGCAGCTCCTCTGCCTCTCCCCCACGCCCACAGAGTCCTGGCTCACCCCCACTTCCTCCTGGAGACGTCCCCAATCACCTCTACTCCAGTTGCTCTCTCCCCCTGTGAAGTATTCCGATCCTAGTTGTTCAAAGCCTTGCTAGTCCAAGTGTGGTGAAAGCCAGTAGCATTAGTACAACTGGGGAGCTGGTTAGGAGCTCAGAATCTCCAGCATCACCCCAGACCTGCCCAATCAGATTCTATATTTTAATAAGATATACATGCACTTTAGCATTTGAGAAACTCTGGACCAAATCGCACTTTTTTATTTATATATTTTGAAATAATTATAGATTCACAAGAATTTGCCAAGAAATGTATAGCATGGTCCCCTAGAGCCAGACCCCCAATGTTAACATCTTCAGTGTCAGAGCTAAGATACTGACCTTGGTATAACTCTGTGTGTGTGTGGGCACATGTGCATAGCTCTGTGCAGTTTTATCCCGTGCTTAACTTCATGTAACCACCAGCATTGAGATAAATAACAGAACCAAAATCACAAGGTTTCCTTGAATTATACCTTTAGAACCACACTCACCCTTTCCCCTATCTCTAACTCCTGGTAACCACTAATCTGTTCTCCATCTCTATAATTAATTTTATAAATGTAAATTATAATTTACAAACATTATATATAGGTAGAAGCATACAATGTGTATCATTTTGAGATTGGCTTTTTTTTTCCATCCAAGTTGTGTATACCAATAATTCCTTCATTTTTAAAGCAATTTTAGTAGCTTTATTGAGATGTAATTCACATGCTATAAAATTTACTCATTTAAAGCATACAGTTCAATGGCTTTTAGTGTAGTCACAGTTATGCACTTATCACCACAATCAATTTTAGAACATTTTCATTACCCTGAAAAGAAACTCGACTCCCTCATCCCTCAACTCCCTCATCCTCATCCCTACTCCCCCCCTAAACACACACACACACACATACACACACACACTCAAGCTCAGTCTTTATAGGTGGCCAATCCGGACGTGTCACATAAATGGAATGATGCACTTTTGTAACTGTTCTCATTCACTGAGCTTAATGTTTTCAAGCTTCATCCATGCTGTCATATGTTCATAACACTTCATTCATTTTTACCACCAAATAGTATGCCATTGTATGGCTAATACCAATTTTGTTTATTCATCGTCAGCCGATGGACACCTGGGTTGTCCCCACTTTTGTATTTTCACTGCTCAGCAGTATTCTATGATCTGGATGAACCAGCTTATTTAACCATCCACTCATTGAAAGACATTGGGGTGATTGTTCTAGCTATGGGCTATTACAAATAAAGCTGCAGGGAACATCTGTGTACAAGTTTCCGTGTAAGTTTTTATTTCTTTGGGGTAAATATGGAGCAGAGAAAGTCCTTGGAAGTCCACTTTCAGTTTTAAAAGACCCTGTCAAACTCTTTCCCAGTGGCCACACCATTTTACCTTGCCACCAACAGTGTCCTGTGACCCAGGACACTGGGTCATCCTCGTCAGCTTTTGGTATTACCAGTATTTCTGTCTTAGCCTCTCTGATAGCAATATAGTGACATCTCACTGTGACTTTAGTTGGTATTTCTCTGATGGCTAATGATGTTGAACAGTTTTTCATGTGCTTATTTGCCACCTGTATGTCCTCTCCAGGGAAATGTTTCTTTATGTCTTTCCCCCTTTTCTAGTTGGACTCTCTTTGAAAGTTGAGTTTTGAGAGTTCCTTATACATCTGCATACAATGCCTTTGTCAGATATGTGATTCGCAGCTGTCTGCAGCATGTCTTTTCATCCTCTCAGCAGGATCTTTTGCAGAGCAAAAGATTTTCATTTGGATGAGGTCCACTTTCTCATTTTTTACTTTTGTGGATCGTGCACTTGGTATCAAGTCTAAGAACTCTTCGCCTAACACTCGGTCCCAAGATTTTCACCACTAAGCCCCCAAAAGTTTTATTATTTTACTTATTATATTTGAATCCATGATCCATGTGGAATTAATTTTTGTATACAATGTAGGCTGAGGGATCCGTTTTTTTTTTGACGGGTGTCTGATTTTTCCAGCCCTGTCTGTTGAAAGGCTATTCCATCTCCATTGAGTTGCTCTTGCGCCTTTGGTCAAACAATTGGGCGTACTCACATGGGTGTGTTTCCGGCTCTCTACACAGCATGCGTTGTAACTGAACATATATGCACACACCTCTGGACCCCTCCTACTTGGCGGTGGATCAGCTCCACATTCCTTTTGGGCTCCCCCAAAACACCTCACATAAGAGGATTGGGAAATGCTCCCAGATTGGTAAGGTTGCAAGCCTCCACAGGAAAGGGGGGTGTGGAGCCCCCCTGACCCTTGATGGCCCCAGGAACCACAAGAGGTCCCCACGGAGGTGTGGGGAGCAGCGCAGAAGCAGAGACACCTCGGCCCAAGCCTGGCCTGAGCAAACCAGACTGTCTTTGGTTTCAGGTTTCGGGCCCTTCCGGCAGCACTTGGTGAATTCCAGCTGGGAAGCGGTGAAGGTAAAATCCCTACAAGCCCAGACCCAGGAACTCGGGGCCCAGCTGGTTCCTTCTGTGGTTCTGGAAAACCCAGCTTATAGTCCCCTTGGTGACCAGATCCACATGGGAAGGGAGAGAACACACACTGCGTGCCCTGGCACACGCTCCAGGCTTTGGTCCTCGGGGTGACTCACCTGCACCCCGGGGCCCATCGAGCTCAGCAGTAAGAAAACAGGCTAAAAGGACGCCCTGGGAGGGATGGAGAGTGGCCTAGGCAGGCTCTGCTGCCCTGAGAACTGAAGACACCTTCTGGTTGCGGGGTCTCAGGAAAGTCACAGCCCCCAGCCTCAGTGTCCTCATTCATGCAATGGGGGAATACTAGTGCTGACCTCCAGGGTGGATCTGAGAAATAAGAGAGGCAAGTGTGTGAAGCAAAGAAGCTTGTAAGTCTATAAAGGTACCTTTATAAAGCATAGCTCTTGGCGCATGGTAAGAGCTTAATACATGATTATTATTATAGACAACATGGCTTAATTTTTAAGGAAGTAATCAGAAGAAAGTGCATCCTTGGACAGGACATGAAGGGTGGTCTCGTCTGTAGAGCAGACCCCTCCTCCCTGAACCAATTGCTTCACTTGTACCCTTCTCCACACAGTGTCACTTAGAGGCTCAGAGCACAGCCGGCTATTTATTCACACTTGACCATCAATTTCATGCCTCTGCTGGATCAAGCCAAAGGTGGAGTCTTGAGTCTATTCTCAGAGTTTCCCAGTCAAGCTGAAAATGTAGCAAAACCACTTGAATCGTGCATTGTCAGCCACTGTAGCATTGATTTTCTAGCCTGTCTGCACAGATGCAGTCAAGGAAACTCTCCACTCTTGAGTTCGAGCTTGGGTTTTTTTCAACCAGCAAAAAAACTCAGAGAACCCCAGGCTCACTGCCAAGCCCCACTGCTGCACATAACATGCCAGAAAGGCTAGGTCAGGGCTTTATGAGTTTCTGGGTGTTTGCAGCCAGTTCCTCGAAAAACAAGACTTTTTCTGCTAAATCCAGCATGGGCCCTGAGCCCTTCTTTTTGCAGTCATGAGAATGGAAAAGAGCCAGGCTGCCAGGGCCCTCCTCTCTGCGCCAACAGTTACAAGTCACTGAGCTTTTATGTGCCTCAATTTTCTTATCTGTAAAATGGGAAGGTTGTAATGACTATAGGAATTAATTCATGTAAAGCCCTCAGAGCATGACAGAGTAACTGCTAATGCGCACAAATATTATTATTGCTAAGAAACTACTCAAGTCAGTTTTCTCAGTTGTGGGCTAGTGGGCTAATTGGAGATCCACACAGGGAATGGAATGAGGGAAGAGATTTTTTGGTACATTTAAGATTCACCGATAAAGCTGGAAAAGCAAGGCAGAAGGGCGGAAACAGAAGCAGGCTAGGGGTTTCCCGGAAGAGGGAAGCAGAATGGCAAACTAGGTGCTCTGAGGCGCCCTCCACCTGCAGATGAACTAGGTAAGACAGACTTCTGTGGATTGCTGGGCATACAGCTGTAAAGGAAAGCTCGTGTACATCATACCATGCACATAGACACATCACACATACCCAGGGCTGCAGCCTGTAGGAGTGAGCAGTCAACAACCACAACACAAAAAGGCAGGAAGGGCACATGCCATTATCAACATTGTCATCAGCAAAGGGGTTAGAATGAAACCAAAACTCTTTCTGTAAGCTGGATGCTTGAAGGGGCATCCTGTGGTCTCTAGCATCCAGACTCCCAACAAAGTATATGCAATTTCTCTTGATTTTTTAAAGCCTCAGATTTTCCACAAACTGAAGTAAGTTAGGGGCTTCTCTAGAGGCTCAGTCGATAAAGAATCTTTCCTCAGTGAAGGAGACTTGGGTTTGATCCCTGGGTCAGGAAGATCCCCTGGAGAAGGAAACGGCAACCCACTCCAGTATTCTTGCCTGGGAAATCCCATGGACAGAGGAACCTGGCAGGCTACAGTCCACAGTCCTTGGGGTCGGAAGAGTCAGACACAACTTAGCAACTAAACCACCACTACTGCCGCTGCCCAAAATAAGCTCAGCATTTACTTCCAATCAAAGATCACCAAATATGCAAAGAAACAAACTACCCTGAGTAAGAATGAGCAAAAGCAGGTTTAGAACCTGAAGAATCAGTTTCTAGGTCATTCTGCTAGATATTATCAGAAAATAGCATAATTGTATATGGAATGTTTGAAACAATAATGGTAGAATCCCAAAAAGCAAGCAAAAAGGCTATCAAAAGATTAGGCAAATTGTAAAAGGGAGTAATAGAGCCTATAAAAATTTAAAACACAATTGTTGAAATGAAGAGTTTAACAGATGACTTAAAAGACAGTTTCGAATTATGCTAAGTAAAAGATGCCAGTCACAAAAAAATATAATATTTGTGAAATTATTATAATGAAAATAATAATAAATGGCTGATTGTGGGCTTCCCTGGTGGCTTGGATGTTAAAGAATTTACCTGCAGTGCAGGAGACCCGAGTTCCATCCCTGGGTCGTGAAGATCCCCTGAAGAAGGTAATGGCTACCCACTCCAATAATCTTACCTGAAAAATCCCATGGACAGAGGAATCTGGCGGGCCATGGGGTTGTAAAGAGTTGGACATGACTGAGTGACTAATGGTGTCACTTTTACTTTTTCAAGCTTAAATGTAAAGGATTGAACTAAAATATAGGACAGTGAAGGCATAGAAATCAAGAGGAGTGACTGAGTGTTCTAAGGCCCTTGCATCGACAGGCATCCTGATGTCAAATCAAATTCAGACTTTGTTAAGCTTTATATATACATATAGTAAATATAAATACAGAAATGTGTATGTATATATGTATACATAAATACATATATGTGTATATGTATGTGTATATATATATATAGTTGAAGTCTAGTTGATTTTAATTAAAGTACAGATCTACATTGTTGTCTTAGTTTCCGGTATACAGCAATATATTCAGTTATATATATATATGTGTGTGTGTGTATATACTCTTTTTCAGATTCTTTTCTAAGATATTGAATATAGTTTCCTGTGCTGTAGTAGGCTCTTGTTTATCTATTTTATATATAGTAGTGTGTATCTGTTAATCCCAAACTCCTAATTTATCCTTCCTCCTTCCCCCTTTAGTAACTATAACATTTTTTCTGTGCCTGTGAATTTTTTTTGTTTTATAAATGAGTTCATTTGTATCAGTTTTTAGATTCCACACATAAGTGATATCATATGATATTTGTCTTTCTCTGTCTGACTTCATTTAGCATGATAATCTCTAGGTCCATTCATGTTGCTGCAAATGGCATTACTTCATTCTTTTTTAAGGCTTAGTAATATTCCAGTGTGTGTGT